AAAAAAAAAAAAAAAATCCAAAGACTAAAGTTCCACACAGTCTGGAAGAAACAAGAGCTTTAACATGTCAAACCCTCTAATCCCCAGCACCCAGAAAAGTACCTGGAACACAGTAGTGATTAATAAGCTCAGTGTTTATTAAAAGTGGTCTGAAGCACATTGTTTAACCAAACAACTGGAACTAATAATTTCATTTTTTTCCTGTATAAGGTGAAAATTCTCTGCCTATCTCTTATATTTCTGTATTAAATAATACTTCAGAGACTAAAAGTTGAAACAAACTCACATCTGAAAATACTTGTACTAGAGATAAAAGATGAGTAAGATGAGGTCTAAAAGTATGTGCCTGGGTAATCAGGCCTACCCTAAAGAGACTAAGAATAAGTTTTTCCAGAATTACCAGGGAAAAAATTTATGGATTTTCTGGAATCCTCTCAATTCCTACCTGGACACATTCTTTATAAAGGATGTGGATTAAAAACAAAACAACAGGGGTGCCTGGGTGGCTCAGATGGTTAAGCGTCTGCCTTTGGCTCAGGTCATGATCCCAGGGTTCTGGGATTGAGCCCCACATCGGGCTCCTGGCTCAGCGAGGAGCCTGCTTCTCCCTCTCCCTCTGCCTCTCTCCCTGCTCATGCTTTCTCTCTCTTTCTCTGTATCTCTGTGTCTCAAATGAATAAATAAAATCTTTAAAAAACAACAGCAACAACAGAAAAGGTTGTGGATTGTTTTGAGGAAGTAATGTTGGCCTGAAGAGAAGTAAGTAGCAGCCTATAATTTGAGGGCCTATGAGCAAACTGGATTTGAAGTAGTTATTTAAGATCTCTATAAATACTGCCATCTTATATTTGTTCCAAAATATTTCTCCAGTCACCTGTCACTATAGGAAAAATTTCACCATTGTTTCTTTTAGTCTTGAAAAACTCAGTCTTTAAAAGTTACAGTGAAACTGTAACTTAGCAATATAATCTAATAATGTAGAATGAGTTTCTGTTAAATATTTATTCTCGGTGTTAATGTATAATACTGTTATTTCTCAGCTTTCAAATTTAGTGAAAATTTGAAATTTTCAAATTTTCAAACAGTGGCCTTGCAGTGGGGCACTTCCTGGTATGGAAGGCTAAGACCTGAACCTAGAAGAGAGGCTTTTCCAGAAGAGAAGTGAATCTGTGAAAATAACACTAATGGTGCCTGCTTCAGTTCTGTACAGCATTAACTTCGAGGATAGACTCTTATGGAATAGTCTGACCCAATATTGTTGTAATTGTTAATACTTACTAAATTCTGTGCAATTATCTCAATCATCTTTGGGGACTGGACTGAAATGAAGAGAATACTCTTTGCTGATCACTTTGGAGGGGGGCAACTTATTAAACTCTTAACCTGAAAATAAACAAAATGAATTATATTGAGAAGGAAGTTATTTCTCTGAGTAAATTGTTATTTTGAAAATTAACCCTCTGAAATACTATGTCAGTGGATTTTTTATAAATAATTACTTCTTTTCATATTATGAGGAAACCTAATTAATTTGTTGCCATCTATGTTTGCCATGAGAGAGTACTTTTTCAATCATTCCATATAGAAGAAACCAGGATTTAGCAATAGGAATTTTAGTTAATTTGTTTTGTGCACGTAAAAAAAATTTTTTTTTTCTTATTTTTAAGTAGGCTCCATACCACAGTGTGGAGCCCAGCATGGGACTTGAACTCAAAACCCTGAAATCAAAACCTGAGCTGAGATCAAGAGTGGAATGCTTAACTAGCTGAGCCACCCAGGTACCCCTGTTTTGTATACTTCTTAAGCTGCTCAGGAACACCAAAATTAGCTGTATCAGATATTTTATTGTTTTTGTATTAGAGAATGGAAGGAGTTGATATTAACTTTTCAGACAAATAATTTTATAAAAGAGCCAGGTTGAAAAAAATACAGTATAAATAAAAGTAATATACAGACAGTTTGACTTCTGAACATAGAGGAGGAAATTTTATTAGGTAAAAGCAATGGATTGAAAAAATGTAACAAATTTCCCATATGACTCAGTAACTGCATTTTATACTGATATACAGAAAATAATCACATTATAGAATGCATTTATATCACGTATAATTATTGTAATTCATTACATTTTTAGTTTAGTACAGTCAAAATTCAATTCATATTCCTTTTCTGAATCTACTTCTACCAGTCAGTCAAAAATTATTTGTTGAATCTCTGCTATATTGATCTGGTACCTTTAATTATCAGTAATCTTTTATCTTGTCTGTTTCCTACTTGTTAGAAGTCTGCCGTTTTATATGGTTCCCAAGAGATTAGCTATAGTTTTTTATTTTGTTTTTGTTTTTTATAATCTAACACTTTTCTAAACTTACTTCTCTTGAAGCAGTTGAACTCATATGAATTTGGAGTCTTTAGTGGATTTCTCTTCTCCCTTCAGGCCCCTATACCCACTATCACATTCTAACTAACTTTATCTAATTTTTTGTTAGTCTGATTAGTAGAATGAATATTTAAGTTATCATCCCACTTTATAGCTAGAGATTTTAAATGACTTTACGTCTGCATATACTATTATGTATACTCTAAGTTAGATTTCTTTGTGTAACTCCTTATTAAAACATTTGAAGAAATAGATATAAAAACAAAATAAGCATTTCTGAAAATATATAACATGATACTGCATAAGAAACAAAATAATAATAATAATGAATTGGATAGACAGTTAACCAAAAGTAAAACTACAAGTATATTCACAATAAGGAAATAATATGGCTATAAGAGTCATATGGTTAAGAAATGTGCTTATGAGCATATATTTATAAAACAAATTATTTGAAGCCAGGTTAAAATCTCATCAAACATTTCATTTCCTAGGGAAAGATTTTTAAAAACACAGAAATCATTGTTTCACTCAATACTCGGTTGAGTTTTATCTTGAAATTTGAAAGCTGAGAAATAACGGTATTATACATTAACACCAAGAATAAATATTTAACAGAAACTCATTCTACATTATTAGATTATATTGCTAAGTTCAGAAGAAAATAATGTGTCTTAAGATACATTCTTTTTGTTGTCTGTGATTTATGAAAATCTACCACTATTGAAGTAATAACCACTTCTGTTTTTCCTTCAAGTTAACAGTCTTAAAAGGGAACTTCATTAATATTAATAATCAAGTTTGTGACTGATATATACAGTGAAAAAGAGGAAGGGCAAATGTTACATTACAATGAGTAATAACTACATTATCTTGTTAAAATATTGGTCTCACATTTTTTTTCTCTGTACCCACATCTTTTTATTTATACTCTAAACTACAGATTTTGGGGTATAATTTTTTTAATTGTCTAACTACATTTCATAATATATAAACTGCGATTCAGATTATTTTAAGTTTAGGATTATATGTGTTACACAGATATGTTATTATCTTTTTATAATATATTTATAGTAGCCTAGTAAGCCCTTTTATTTTAGAAGGGACCATGGAAGATAATTAGCATATAGAGTTTCATCTTAGTGTAGCTTTAACCACTGATGTCATATGAATATTTTAGTTACTTTTCTTGAGCAGATTTTCCACAAATACTAGGAGAGTCACCATGAATCAATTTTGTCACAGCAAAGTGATTCCAAAGTGATCTTTACTGAGTTTTCTTGGATCCTTGAAACTGGAACTTTTGGGATTGATGAGGTTTGTCAGGAAGACAGAAAAGATGGTGTCACTTCAGATCTGATATTCCTGGGTCTGGACTTAAAGATTATCTGTTGAAGATTGATTCTTCCCCATGTCCTCTCCAAATTCAGATCTCACTTCTCCAGAGGTTTAGAAGGCCCTATTTCACCACTGCCACACAGAAAAAGACAAAACTCTCAAGAAAAATAGTATTACAAGTTGACTGCTTTACAAGATACAACATAATTCTTAGGTCAGAATTTCATGGCTTTTGGCACCAGGCCAGCACAGCATTACTACAACAAAGAATGGGAATGAAAGCATAGTTCCTGGGACTTAAATTTATTTAATTTCTTCCTTAATGTAACTCATCGTACCCTTCAAATATAAGGTGTTCCTATTACTAATATAATTCTTCAGCTTTAAGGGCACTTTCTGTTTTCTTGAATGATTTAAGCTAGAATGGGTAGGACACATACCATATGAAAAGATAGGAGGTCAGCCAGGTAGAGGAAAGTAGGGAGGAAGGAAGCAGTTAGGAAGTGTCTTCCTTCAAATCAAATAGTTTTACATACAATGTACTTTAACTTTTTTTTTAAGTTTACTTATGTAAATAATCTCTACACCCAAGGTGGGGCTTGAACTCATGAGCCCAAGATCAAGCACCACATGCTCTACCAACTGAATCAGCCAGGTGCCCCTCAATGTACTTCAACTTGTTAATGGTAAATCTCTGGTTGAAAGATAGATCCAACAAATTTAAAAGTTCATGTTCTTTTTACTGAGTGCCTTCACCCATCAAGCTAACATTGTTTTCTTCAAATATTAAATGTTGTACACTCTGCAAATGAAAATGAAGTACACACATACACACACCGAGGAGTTTTCCTTCCAGTTCCTAAGTTCATAACTCTCCTAAACTGCCCCAGTGATTCTGGGTAGCATTATATTTTTTGCAACAACGCTTTGCCCTAGTTTTTTTTTTTAACAAAGTGATTCTGTTTTAAAATATTTTGTCCCACATTAGGGAATGCATAAGTATTTGAAAGAAAAGATGACTTTCATAATCTGGACAGAATTATATTTCTGTCATCTAAAAATGAGCTTGGCTGATTCTGACTGGTATAAGCAATTGGTTTAAGTATCCTAAAAACAACATAGTAACTTTCAAAATAAAGCTTAATTGGGGGCTTCATAGGCTGTCTACCTGACTGTATTCCTTTCTCAAATAGGTAAGTACAGAGGGTTATGCAAATTTTCTCACATAAAATTGTTAATATTCCTAATTCTGAAATGAAATGTCTTTTACATATTTGTCATCCCCCTGGCCCTAGAGTTTCCTGTGCCTTCTTATTGAAATGGTGATTAGTATATTGATACATTCAATTCGGAGCCAAGTACTGGATTGTAATCTTCACACCATCTTTTCTGCAAATGAGTAAGATAATGAGAAATTATAATGGCTTCTGCCCCCTAGTGATCTGTGGTAGATTTTGATAGGAAGGATGAACAATTCTGTCACTACCAATGGACCTCAATGATTTGGTTCTCCTAAATAAAAGGAAATAAATAGGACTTAAGCTTCTTAATGCTAAAGTCAACTAAGCATATGAATATAAACATGTAAGTGGTATTAAATTAGTTCAAAATTAGCATGAGTTCACAAGCTGCTATTGTCATTTAGTTAATATTCATATTTACTAATACTCACAGACACAAAAGTCCTTGCATTTTGAATCCTTGCATCTTTGCCTTTTGTCAGCAGATAAATTTGTAAGTAGCTAAATTTCATCTGGTTTTAGTAGGAGACTCTACCCATATGTTACCAAGTAATATGTCCTTGAGTTTGACAGAGGCAATGAAAGTGGGCCACCTAAGTGATTATATAGACATCATCTGTGGAGTCTTCATTACCTTCTTTTTCTGTTTTCACTTAAAAAATAACATTTGGCAGATGGTAGAAAGACCATTAAAGTAGTAAATTTAATATAGCAGTAGTAAAACCTATTGCATAGGTTTTAGAAATCAGGCAATAGATGCATAAAGTTAAAATCAGATTAGATTGGGAGGGGGATTGTTTCACTTAAAGCATTAAATGTTCATGTTTGCTGCTACGTTAAGGTGCATAAACAGCTGTTTCCTGTAATTATCTTTCATTTCTTTTATGAGTAAGACTGTCTTTATAAGTTAACACTAAATATTTTTGGTATTTGAATTATAAATAGCTAGAATAATAACCTTTGTTTTTAGACAAACTTAGATTATAAACTTTAATCAATCACAATATGGCAGTTAGGGATTTTGTTTTGTTTTTTTACCCAAAGAAATGACAATTTTCTTATCAACATCATCTATTAAGACAAAAAGAGGAAACTGGTTATTCTGGGGTCCTGGTTTTTCTTGGGAATATTTTCAAATGATTTGAATGATTGAACTCATCAGTCTCATAATCAATAAAATGGTGATTGGCTGGAGATTAAAACATAAAGGTCAGGAATAGGGAAAACAAGAAGGGAAAAAAGTCACAGAGGTAGAAATATAGAAGTTGAATTCAAACTAAGTTTTTTTTTTGAGCACTTAACAATGGGCCCTCCAAAATGGCTGATAATACCACTAAAGGTTTAAGTTTAAATAAAGGAAAATTAAACCATGTCAATATTTAGTATTTATTTCT